TTTCATTGAACAGGGACTCCATTTTGGCCATTTTCAGAATATACCCCCAAGTACATCCATTCCTTTTGCCAGTAAAAAGGGACAAAAAACTACCAGTTGCTTTGAGGGTGCCTCAGGATTTGCCCATGTTGCTTCTTTCACCCAGAGGCATCTCTAGGTTGACAGGCCAGGCCCAGGCCTCGTGAGCTGCCCTCCTTCCCCACTCGGTGCGAGGCCTTTGCTTCCAAACCCGCTCTACCTGCCGCCTCTTCGCTCCCCAGCACCTCCTCGCTGGGGCTCCTCGGAGCTTCCCCCAAAGCTCTTCCTTCCCTCGGTTTTCCTTGCAGTCTTAGGTTAGCTCTATACGTACTTACGCAAACTGTTTTACTCATGAACAATCTCATCCAGCTCAATGGGCTATTTGACTTAAATTACTCACTCCAATGCGTTTCCAAGATGAGACGGGTAGTTCAGAAATACCTAGAGACTGTCTTAAATAAAATCTGTAAAGATCTACATCAGTCTCCGCCATTTTTTTAATAGAAAAGCAGCAAAGCAAATCAAGATGACTCTACAATGATGTCCAATACTCACCGGTCTTCCTGACATTTTCTCTGCACTTAAATATTTAACATAAATTTAATATAAAAAAATAGGAATTTATGATTCAATCAGGCTTGTGCAAATTCTTACGCTGACCTCACAGGGCAGCCAGAATAATAGGACATGGCAACAAAAAAGCTATTTTTGAAGTAAACCATATTTGATTTTTCATTGTTGTTATGATCGTTTGACATAGTAGTCACGGAGAGCTAAAATACATGTTATTTCCCTGAAATAGGAGAGAAAAAAAAGAATAATTAAAACTTACCCTACTATCCTAGAAGGTGATTATGCAGCCTGAAAATAAGGATACTTAGTTACTTAAATGAAAGGATTTGGAAAGGAAGGGAAAAAAGTGTTAATTTCAGTTCATTTTGTACTTATCATCATTTGTACTTATCATCATTTTGTACTTATAATTAATTGCATTTAGCTTTTTTTTCCTGTTTAACTTGCCTTTAAATATCCAAACATATCAAAGGTATCATAACAAAGCATAAACAATGCTGTACTAAGGTGCAGGTATAAAGGTTATAGATGAGCTACTTTCACATGAAACAACCTCCTTCAAGGAGAGCACAATTTTGAGCTAAGTGGTTCAATACTGACCTTTCCAATCCCTTAAAAATAAGTACTAAAAAGTGTCAGCAGTGAAGATCTGTATATGGATTTAATGTTTGTGTATTTTACCCAGTGATTTTTTTCTATTGATTTCTCTGCAACTACTAACAAGGTTGAACTTACGCATGTCTTGGGTTCAACTAACTGTAATTGTGACCTTAGTTCTTCCAAAAAGAAGGGGTCTTAACCGTACAATACTCCTTCTTCACCACAATTTATTTTTGCAATGCCTTCCAACAACTGCAAAAAGCTTAGTATCTTTTTTTGTGACATTGCTATGCAAAGGTGCTAATTATGTTTATCCTCTACTTCTCATTATTGTTCTCTGGTGAAGAACCAGATCCTTCATTACAAGGACTTTCCTTATCTTTTCTC